CCAGCCCAGATTTTGCCTTTGTAGCTCCCAGTACTTTGCACATAACAGGCACAAAATGTTAAACTGGAGGGAGGGACGGAATATGGAACTGAAAATTAAAATAAAATTTCAATTAAAAAAAAAAACCTTGAATTGGACCTGAGAGGTCTCTAGGAAAGTGGCCCAGGCATCTAGTCTCTTACCTGCTTGAAATTGTTATAGATGAGCTGAATGGAGGCACAGGACAGCAGAATCACCAAATATGCAAATGACTCAAAGCTAGAAAGGATGACCAACATATTGGATGGATGACAATCAGAATCTAAAAAGATCTTGCTAGGCTTAATAATGGGCTTAATCTCATAAACTAAAATTTTAAAAGAATAAAGTCCTACTTTGCTATTGTTCAGTTATGTCCCACTCTTCATGACATCATTTGGGGTTTGCTTGGCAAAGATACTGGAGTGGTTTGCCATTTCCTTCTCCAGTTCATTTTACAGATGAGGAAACTGAGGCAAACAGCATTAAGTGACTTATCTATGGTCACCCAGCTAGTTAAGTGTCTGAGGCCAGATCTGAACTCAGGAAGATGAGTCTTCCTGACTTCAGGCCTGGCACTCTATCCATTGTACCACTTAGCCGCCCATAAAGTCCTACACTTGGGTTAAAAAAAAAACTGCCCAAAGATAAAATAGGATGGAGGACACATGGCTAGATATAAATACTGAAAAATAGATGTGGAAGTTCTGGTGAAACGGTTGAGAAGGGAATGATTGTTTATATAGCTTCTACTATATGCTAGGCACTTTACAAATATCTCATTTGATCCTCATAACAACCCTTGAAGGTAGGTGCTATTATCTCCATTTTACAGTTGAAGAAACTGAGGCAAACAGAGGTTTAGTGACTTGCCCAAGGTCATATAGCTAATAAGCATCTGAGGCTAGATTTGAACTCAGATTTTGCTGACTCCAGGCCTAGCAGTAGAACACTGTATCCACTGGGCAATCAGCCTGCCTAGTGAAACTGAAAACTCAATAGGAGACCCTAGGTCTCCTTACTCCAAAATCCAACATTTTTCTGGTAAACCATACCCGATAATTAACTGATGAGTTTATTTCTTTAAGTCCTGATATCTCCAGTTGTGTCCCAGTTACAGATTTGGAAAGCCTAGGGATTTGTGCTATCCAAAGGCCATTTAGTAAAAACCCTATTTAGGACTGAGGGTGGTTTTGATTATTTTTGACAAAGTAGTCAAGTGGACCAAGGTTGAATCTGAAACTAGGGACTCTGGAATCTAAGTTATCAAAGAAAGCAAGGTAGCTTACTTAACTCCTAAGGAATACTGGTTCACCACATAACAGACTAGAGAGCAAGGGGTGGACACTTCTGTGAACTGGTCTAACAAATGTCCATTCATGGAATTGGAGGATATTGAGAGGTAGGGGAAAAAAAAAATCCTGTACAATGGAAATGCTGTAAATAAATAACACTCCTGAAAAGAAACTGTCCCTCCTTCCCCCCTTCCTTGAAGAGGTGGGGGACTGTGGGTATGGAACACTGCATAGAATGTCATCTTTTCCAATACATTGGTTAGTTTTGCTGAGTTTTTTTTTTCTTCTCTTTTTAAAATTCATCATTATAAGGGAGAGGCACTCCGGGAGGAGGTGGGAGGATAAAATGGAAATAGGTAGCAAAAGCAAAACATAGCAATAACATTTTATTTTTATAAAAAGAATCATAGGATGTTGAATATCAGAGCTGGAAGAGGCCTTAGAGATTATCTAATCTATCTAGCCCAGACTGAGGGCCATTGAGGGAGGGGGGAAAGAATTTACCACCAGTCCCTCCAGAGAAGAGTGCCAAAGTTCCAGGTCCCCAACTCCCAGGGAGCAATTAGGCTTCTTGGAACATGTACAAAGACCCCCTATTAAAATTTAAATGCCCCTGTGAGCCAGGTCTGTCTGCCTGATATCAGACTCCCCATAACTACGTCTAGCCCTGGGGCCTTGCAGTTAGTAGACCTCAACAAATGCTTATTGAAGGAAGGGTGCTATAGTTGGCCATTCCTTTACTGCAGAAGACTTCCAAAGAGCAGAAGATACATTCTCCCACCTCACCCCCACCCCTCATCTCTCCTCTATTAATTCTGTCATGAGTTAATATTTGGCACTTAATGTCTTCCCCTTCCCCTTCCTCTCTCATGGTCTTCAATTTAATCAAACATATTTCTACACAAGCAAAGATCTCATAGGACCCTAGATTTTAGAGTTGGAAGAGACCTGTGAAAACATCTAATCACAAATAGGATAGAAAGGCGAATATGAATATGAATATGAATAAGCGGAAAGTCTTTATTTGTAAAATGAAGAGGACTGGGCGATGTTTAACATCTCTTCCAACTCTAATCCTATGATCCAGTAAAATCTAAGCTCCTTGACAGCAGGGATAGATTTGCATTTTTTTTTCACTTTGTATCCCTAGCACCTAGCACTCCTAGGCACCTGGCACATAGTATAAACTTGATAAATTCACCATGAAATCAAATTGCTCTGTAGAAGTCCATGTTCCTAAAGCTCTCAGCAATCCTGTGAGATAGATGGTGCAATTATTACCGCTACTTTACAGATGGGAAAACTGAGACACATTAACAAAGGCACAAGACTTACCCCAAATCAAATAGTTTACTATCAAGCCAAGACTCAAACTCCTCACCTGTTGGCAAGTCCAGAGCTTATTCTGCTTGACCACAGTAGGGACTCTTTTTGAAACATCACAGACCCCACAGACATCCTCTTCTTTCTCTCCCCCCTCTCCTTCTCCCCTCCCCCTTTATGGCAGCTAGCCCAGTCCCGTAGGAGTTGGTCACATCTTCTGAAAGGCTGTCCTGTTTAGGATTAATTTAATTCTTTGCCTTTACCCTAGAACTCCTTCGTTTAATTATTTGAGCTGCCATGCTGAAAATGTTCAGGGCTTGCTGAGATTTTTTCCCCCTAAGGCACCAGAGCTTGGCTCACCTGAATGCTTCCTGAATGATGGTTATAGGGTTTAATTAGGTAGACAGGACTAAGACCTCGTATTGCCAGAATTCTCATTAAGGGAGAGGGGGGGAGGAGGGATTGTAGTGTGAAACTCACTTTTAAAATCTCGGACCTCAGGGTCCACCTGTTCTGGTTGACTTTGACCAGTGGGATAAATAGGTTGGTTCTCTTGGGATTTGGTTCAACTCCCGAAGGACAAACATTTCTATTTCTATTCCACTTTTCTTCGTTCTCCAGTAACTAGCAGAGTGTGTCATAGGAAATGCTCACGCACTAAAAACATCTGCGGGAGTTGGTAAGGTTGGGGGTGGGGGAGTTGAGAGGAGAACGTGAATAGCTCATTCAAGAAAAGCAGCCTGGAGAGGGCAAAGCATAGTCCCGCCTCTGGGCTGATATTCTATGTCCAATATTCTAGGGCTTCTTGAAGTTCAAACATTCTACTGGGGATACAAGCGCAGGGGGAGGCGGGGGGGCGGCGGGGCGAGGAGGAAACGTTGACCTGGAGAAAGTCAGACATTTTAACAATGTTAGAAGTTGGGACTTTTTTGTCACCAGGCACAGTTGAATCTTCTCGCTTTTTTGATCCTTGAGGTCTTTCCCTCCTCCCTCAGTCGCTAGTGGAGAAAGTCAGACATTTTAACAATGTTAGTAGTTGGGACTTTTTTGTCACCAGGCACAGTTGAATCTTCTCGCTTTTTTGATCCTTGAGGTCTTTCCCTCCTCCCTCAGTCGCTAGTGCCTCTTCCAAATTACTTGTGGTTTATATTGTATTTGTGTACATTTTCACTTTTCCCTACGCAAAGAGGGCAGGGACTTTCCTTTTTGCCTTTGTATAGCTGGGTATTTAATGACCCATTGATTTCACTGTGCATAGATGATGTTTGAGTTTCCTAGGAGAGAAGATCACTTCTATTGCGTAGCTGACCTCCTCTTTCACCATTTCCATGCTTCCACTCTCCTTGGCCACTAGGCAAACAACTAGTCCTTTCAACTCTCTTCCCTCTTCCCTTCTCAAGCCAGAAACACTGTGAGAGGAATCCAGGACAAGTTTAGAACTATACAATGTCACAGCTGGAAGGACCCCTAGAACTTAGAACCCCAGATGCTGACGTTGTAAAAAACCTCAAAGAGATTGTCTGGTTCAAACCCCTCCATTTACAGAGAAATCTGAGACTCAGAGGGAAGGGCTTGTCCAAGGTCAGAGATTAGCCGGTGGCAGCTCCAGAACTGGATATACTCGGGTCTGTACACTTGTAGTTCACCGCACCGCTGCCTGAAAGGCCTGGACACATGGACACCTGGGGGTGGGGCAAAAATGCCTACAAATCATCGAAGAAAGAGCATTTCGTATTTTAAAAAAAGAGAAAGAGGAAAGAAAAAAAAAACAATGGGAGAGCGCCGGCGGCTGGAGTAGAGGCCAGCAGCCTGTGTCCTGGTTCTTTTCGGAGCTCCCAGTTACGCGTGCCGGGGCTAGCCTGGGGGAGCCAAGCTCCCTGCGTTAGCTTGGGAGAGCCCCCTGCGTGCAGGGATGGGGGAGCCAAGGAGTCTGGGGACCTTAAAACACCACGGGTCTCTTCCCTTACCCCCAATATTCAGTTGGAGGCGGGGCGGGATCTGGGGCAGGACTCCTGGCTGCCAGGGAAGCTGAAGCGTTTCAGCAGATCAACTTTCCCAGCCACACAGCGTCAGCTTACACCTCCCCAGGGCTCCAGAGGGCAGCGGGGCCCCGGCCCTCCCCTAGGCGCCCGCTTTCCAGCCTCCCGGCGGCCAGACAAGTTTCCCCGAACTTTTCCTCCCTCTCCGTTCCACCCACCTCTCTCCTCTTTCCCCCACCCCCGCCCCGCGCCCTGTGACGCACATAATGGTGCAGGGCCCCGTCCCCGGGGCCGCGGCCAATGGGCAGCCGAGGGGGTCCCTGGCGAGGACCAATCAGCGGCCGCTGGACAGTTCCGGGGCCCTGACCTACCCTCCGGGGCTGCAGTGCGCCGGGCGTTAAAGGCGGCAGCGGCGAGTCGCCTCTCCCTGCATACCGGGGCCCGGCCAGAGCCGGTTGGGGACGCGCGGGTCGCCGAAGGGGAACCCTGCGGGGCAGTCCCTGGGAGCCGAGAGGGGCCTGGCCGGGCCGGGAAGGGAGGACGCTACTGCCGCTTCCACCATCCACTGTGAGTACGGAGCCCGGTACCTTCCTTCCCCGGAGCCCAGCCAACTCCCCTTCTTCCCCTGCGTCTTCTCCTCGGCGCCCATTCATGTGCACGGCAACATCCGTGCATGCTATCACATGTGTCCACATGCATGCACATATATGCATGGGTGCACGCTCGCTGGACCGCTCACCTCCGTCTCCCCGGGGCAGCTAGACACACCTCCAGACCGCCACTACAGCAGATTTAGCCTCAGCACAGCCCCCCGCCCAATGTCGGTTTCTTTCCTAGCCCTGGCCCTTCCGCACAACCCTACAGCATCCCCCCAAACCCCCCACCCACACCATCCCTGTCCGAGCCGTCTGTCCCCGGAGCTCATCCGGAGACCTGGGCTGGAGCCAGAGCCGAAAACCGATCCTTCCCCTCCCCCTCCCCTTCCTCCCCATGCTCCCTGCGAGAGGAATCCGCAGACTGGCCTGCTGGTTTTGTAAGCTTTATGCTTCCCGGGGTGCAGGAGGAGCTCCTGGCTAGAAAACCTTTCCCCCTCCTCAAGCTGGCCAGGAAAATGAATGATTCAAAGACAGAAGCGTTTCCTCTTCCCCTCCCCCTTCCCCACTGATATCTGTGTAACACACACCATGTAAGTGTATCTATATAACCTGCACACCACTTAACATATCCATATCTGGTAAAGAAAGCGGGTGGCACAGAGGGATACCAATAACGTCCATTATGCCCCACTGGTATCCAGTAATGTCAGAGGTCTAGAAGAAGGGACCTAGCACTCTGGGTTGACCTCCCCTCCCCCGCTCCAGGATTTTTTGAGGATAATTGATGGGGTTGCCAGAGGGAGGACCTAGATGGATGAGATCATTGATTCACTAAAGTATATAACACAAATGCCATGCTATATCTTTGTTGTGTATAACCTGTGTCTCTATAAGGTACTCTTTGTAAAAGATACCTAAAACATAACCATTCACATTTATACCTTCACTTATTACAACCTTATAAGATCAGATAGTTATTACAAATATTATTATCCCCATTTTGCAGGTGAGAAACTGAGCCTCAGGGAAATTGTGAGTACACAGTGTCAGGCAGTATGAACCCCATGACGCTCCAGTCTTCTTTTCACTTCAGTGTTGCCTCAAGATACCATAGAGACGTAATGTTTATCTATATAGTGTGCATATACACACGCACATAAAACAAAAGCCAACTTTGACGTCAGGAAGACAAGATTCAAAGTCTGTCATAGACACATAGTAGCTATGTGATCCTGGGCAAGTCACTTAACCCCTTAGTGCCCTAGTCTTTAAGACTACAAGTTGCAGACTAATGGCAGATCTGCACTGGGAGAGAGAATTTCCTTCCTGGGAATGCCATAACACCAATGTAATTTAATATTTGAAAAAGAATTAAAGCATACATGTCTGTATGTAATGACAGCTACAGCAAATATATTTGTAGCTGTATAACATTTATAATTTATCATGTAACAAGCATGTATGCACATATTCCTTTCAACTGGAAACAGCACTGTTACACCACCTCTTAGTAGGACATGGCCTCTAAGCCACGTCTCTAGCAGTGGGAGTAGGCAGGACTGAACCGTCTGTACTCTCTCACTTAGACAACTACAAAATCGCTCCTCAGTGTTAAGATACAGCTTAAAGACAGTCAGGGCTGAATTTATGGCTAGGTTTAAAACATTGCAAAACAGTAGGTGCTCCAAGAATGTTTGCTGAGTTAATGATATGGTAGAAGCAGCAAACCAGGCTTGTGCTGTCATGGAACCCTCAGTCTGGCCTGGGAGATAGGGCTTGGCTAGAAACCAATTAAGTGCTAGAATATGTGGTTAAAAAACCAAAACAAAACTCTTTAAATGTACCAGAGAACAGAAACCAGGGTAGGTCAGGGTAGTTCTTGGATAATGTAGGACTCAAGTTGGGCCTTGAACCCAGGGCAGGATTAGTAGGGAGGGAGAGGAGGCATTCCACATAGGAAGAACATTGGGAGTACAAGTTTGAGCCAGGCAGTGAAGGGCCCCTACCCTTCACTGAGGGCATTAGGAGAAAAGAAGCCTGGAGAGGTTAAAGAGGGTCAGATTTGGAGACAGCTTGGAAGGCAGACTGAGATTATTTAACTTTAAGCACTGGATTTAGACTTCCAGGTCTTGGGTTCAAGTTCTGGCTTTATTTAGTACCAGTGTGATCTTGGGCAAGTCAGTTTAACTCCTCTGTGTCTCACTTTCCTTGTTCTTAAAATGAGAAAGGTTGAATTAAGATGCCCCTAAGGTCCATTTCAACTCTATGATCCATCATTGGATTGCCCATGGTATGAAACAGAGCGCTTTGGCAAATTCTGGAGTGCTGCATTCTAAATGATGTTTTAAGGAAAGAAGTCTGGTAATGTTGGAGTGTGGGGTGGATTGGAAGAGGATACCAAGTTTAGGGAAGGCCTGGCCCTCTTGCCCTCAAAGAACCCCCAATCTGGTTAGAAATAGACACTTAAATAAATAAAAGAACAAGACTTTCTTTCTGTTCCACATGACGTAAACTACCCTGATTTTTTCCTTGATATTCTTTCCCCATCTCCATCTGACCCTTGTGTGCCTTCCTCCCTACCAGGTCCTCTGCCTCTTTAATTCCTCCTTCCCATGTTTCCATTGAGTAGAACTCCCTGATTAAAACATATTTGAGATACTGAGCAGCACGTTTTAAGAAAGATATTAACAAGGCAGATTGTATTATTTTCAGAGGAGGGCAATTGGAATGGTAAATGAACCGGTCAGTCAACAACTGTTTATTAAGTGTGGTAGCTGTGTGAGTGGAGGGAAGAGGATGCATACAGCAGATGTTTTGAAGGTAGAAACAAGACATGACAATGGATTGGATTTGTTGGGTAAGTGAGGAGTTGACTCATTTGAGGATAACAACAAGGTTTCCAGCCTGAGTGATTGGTAATAAAGATAATGAGTTTTTTTGGTGGACCATTCAACCTATATGAGAAGATGAAGAAGAGAAGACTTGGGGATAGATTGTAGGGGCCTAGGGCAGTTAGGTGGCCACGTGGATAGAGTGCTGAGCCTGGAGTCAGGAAGACTCATCTTCCTGGGTTCACATCTGGCCTCAGACACTTACTAGCTGTGTGACCCTGGGCAAGTCACTTAACCCTGTTTGCTTCAGTTTCCCCGTCTATAAAATGAGTTGGAGAAGGAAATGGCAATCCACTCCAGTGTGTTTGCCCCAAATAGGATCATGAAGAGTTGGGCAGGACTGCACAACAACAGTAAGGGTGTAATATAGCAGTATTTCAATATTTGAAAGGCTGCCGTGCAGGAGCGATTGAACCTTTTTTGGCCCCACAAGACAAGTAATGGTTAAAAGTTAAAGGTTAAAGATTCTATTTCTGTATAATAATGCTACCAAAGAAGCACCCTGTCATAGTGTTAAGACAGTCTTCGTTCAAGCCTTGCCTCTTGATACACATTGACTGTGTGACCTTGGGCAAGTCACCACTTCTCTGCCACACCTTATTACCATTTCTACAGGGCTTTAAGGGTTTACAAAATGTTTCACTGTGACTCTGAGATGTAGATGATATTATTAGTCTTAATTTGTTCTGTGTCTGTTCTGTTGTCTTGTCTGATTGGAACTCCATTTGAGGTTTTCTGGGCAGATACTGGAGTGGTTTAATCATTTCCTTCTCCAGCTCATTTCATAGACGAGAAGACTAAGGCAAACAGGGTTAAGTGACTTCCCCAAGGTCACACAGCTAGTGTCTAAGGCCAGATTTGAACTCAAGGAAATAAGTCTTTCTGACTCCAGGCCCAGTGCTCTGTTCACTGTGCCACCTAACTGCCCTAGTCTTATTTTACAGATGTGGAAACTGAGGCAGAAGGCATTTAAATGACTTGCTCATAGTCACATAGCCAGTAAGTTTGTCTGAGGCTAGATTTGAACTTAGGTCTTCCTGAGTCCAGTGCTTTATTCACTGTGCTATCTAGCTGTCTCTAGACTATAAGTTGTAGATCTATACCGGCAGAAGAATTTCATCATGGGGCTCCTCACACTAATAAAATCATAGTTCCAGTCCAAAGAAGTATAATACTCTTGATAATAGCTAACATTTTGGAGGGCTTTGCAGTTCACAAAACACTTCACATCTATCTATCAATCTATCTATATACACATTTAATCTTATTACATATCTGTGACATCGGAGCTATCTGACAAAGTATCAGATTGCCTAGGAAGATAGTGAACTCCCTCTCTCCAAAGGGTGACAAGACCTCAAATAGAGGCTAGATAATTCTTTGTCCAGAGAGGATTGTTCTCTGTTTGGGAAGCTGGACTAAGACCCTTCTAAGTCTGACATTCTGTTGTTATGTCCTGTGTTCTAAGGTCTCTTCCAGCTTTAAAATGAGATCTTAGGTGATTTGAAGACCCTTTCTTGCCCTGACATTTTTATGTTCTAGGCAGCTGGTTCCCCAGGGGACAGGCTAGAGATCTTGGCTTGGGGGGAAGTACTAACACTGGTGAGGGATTTGGAGGGGACCCAATAGTCAGGTGTGACGTTAGGAGGCTTTTGATTAAACACCAGCTTACTTTAGTTGGAAGTTAATGAAGACCATGGACTGGACATTTCTGTCAAACTCTTCAGCCAAAGCTGAAGTGAAGGCATACCTCGCTTCTGAATTCCTTTGTCCCTGAATCTGCTAGAGAAGGTGACATTGATTTGGAAGGACAGAGAAAGTGACAGCCAAGAAGCCTCAAGCTAGCTTTGCCCATCCATGTCAGTTTTTCAGATTTGCTGCCTCTTCTGGGAGATTCCCCAGAGGCTGCTCAGACCAGGAATTACAGATGAATTCAACTGCCCAGACATGTAGTCTCTGCTTAAATCAGAACAAATTATACATTCTTGATTTGCCTTACTGATAATTTCATCCTTCAAAACGTGAAGGATGTGACTCTTAGGAAAACAACCCTGACGGGAAAGATCTATTTTCTATCTTAGAGTTCATCATAGAGGAAGAGATAACAGCAACAGCAACAGCAGTACGGTAATAGCTAACATTTATATAGCACCTACTATGTGCCAGGCACTGGGTTAAGTAAGTGCTTTACAATTATTATCTTTTATGATCCTCACAACAACCCTGGGAAGTAGGTGCTAGTATTACCCCCATTTTACAGAAGAAGAAACTGAGGCAAAACAGGTTAAGTGACTTGCCCAGGGTCACCTAGCTAGGAAGTGTCTGAGACTGGATTTAAACTCAGGTCTTCCTGACTTCCAGACCCAGCACTTTATCCTTGGCATAGTCTGACATGCATCCATGGTAATCTGCCTTCTCAAAATCTAAAGGCTTCATTCTTATACTCAACATATCCAAAACAGAGTTCTTTCTCTTTTTCCTTTGCTTTTCTTCAAATGGCCCTATTTCCCCCCTTGAGAACAACACTTAGGTTCATAACCTCTGAGTTGTCCTTAATAGTTCCCTCAACTCACAAAGTCCCTACATGGTTCAGACCCTTATTGCTGCCACATGGTCTCTTGTCTTGCCTCCTGATTGGTCTCTTTGTTTCTTTCTTTTCTCCAGTCCATTCTCCACATGGCTGCCAAAATCATCTTCCTAAGGTACAGGTCTTCACTATGTCATTTTCTTGCTAAAAAAAACCTTTCAGTGACTCAGCTTAATTTAAATTCCTCCACAATCTGGTTCCCACCTACTTTTACAAACTTACTTCATCATACCCTTCCTTTACACACAATATATTCCTGCCAATCTGGTCTAACTAACTGTTAGCCAGATCGGATATTCCTCCTCCTCTCTGGGTCTTTGCACAGACTATGTCTATGGTTAGGGTCCCGTTTCTCACCTCTGCTTCCTGGGATCCCTGGTTTCCTTCAGAACTTCCTCGGTCACTTTCTTGAAGCTGTTCCCCGTTTTCCTCTGATTGTTAATGCTCTTTCCCTCCTCAAAACGCCTTCTCTTTACTTATTAGTGTGGATGTTATTTTGTGTCTTTCCAGAAGAACGTAAGCTCATTAAAGGCAGGGGCTGTTGCATTTTGAGCCTTGTGTCCAAAGTTTGTAGCATATTGCCTTGTTTTCAATATATATATATATATGCAGTATTGCTTACTAGCCCTTCATAAATAGCTGTTGAATTGAAAGGGCACTGTTGTGAGAGTCAGGAGAACCCTGGATTCTCATCCTTCTCCTGATGTTTACAAGCTGTGTCTGGGGGCTTTCAGCTCCTCACCTATAAAACAAGGATAATACCACCTGTATTAGTCTAAGCATGGCTTTTGTGAGAATTAAACAAGGTCTAATTAACTTACACTAACGTGTTTTGCAAACCTTAAATTTCTGCGTACCCAGGCCACTGTCATTACCCTATGGCCTAACATTCTACAGGGAAGTCGAGTGGAAAAGGAATACTCTCAATAATGGGACCCTTAAAGACACTTCAAAAATAAGCTTGTGATGAGTAAGAAAAGAGGAAGCTGTCTAAAGAGACTGATGTGGATGCATAGGAGACTCATTTATCATTAATGTTTTGAAAAGATGTGTTGAGAAGTTGGAAGCAGGGGCTAATAAGTGAGAAGTCTCAAGGGCACTAAAGCTCAGAATGACCTAAAGTGGGTGGTTAACCTTAAGGATCATAGAGGGAGGGGCTTCTTAGCTACATTCCGGACAAGAGAACAAAGAAAGGGATAGCACTGGTACGAGTGAATGGGGTGAATACAGATGGTGAGAGAAGGCAAGCCTTTTGCCTTTAGTCTCTTTTCCCTACCAAAAAAAGTAGTAATTTCTAGGAATCATAGAATGGTCAACAAGGAGCTGTAATCTCAGATATGTGAGGAGATGCTGGTTGTAATAATAATCCTTGACATTAATATAGTACTTTAAGGTTTGCAGAGTGTTTTTTTTAATGTACATTCCCATTTGATCCTCACAACATCCCTGTGAAGTAGGTTTTGCTCTCCCCATTTTACAGATGAGGAAAATGAGGCTCAGGGAAAAGAAATGTCTTGTCCATGTCACACAACATTGTAAAGACCAGAGGCAGGATTGGAATCTAGGCCTTTTCTAAGTCCCTGTTTCCAGGGGGCTTTGACTCTCTCCCCAGTGTGTGATAAGAGACCATCTAGTTGTCATGAATTGAGTTCATGATATCAGGGGTGGATGAGGACTTAAGAATGGTGCAATAGAAAGAATGCTGTATTCTGGAGTCAGAGAACACGAGTTTAAATCCTATCTCTGAGATTTACTACCCTGGGCAAGTCACTTCATCTACCTAGGCCTCGGGGGAGGTGACCTTTGCGGGGGGGGGGTCCCTTTTAGCTCTGGATCTGTAATTCTAAGATTGTTGAGTATCTCTCAGTTGCTTTTTTTTTTTTTTGGACTGTGGAAAGTTAGGCCCCACAGGAGTGGACATACGAACATGCTTGGTTTTTAAATTTTTATTTAGATTTGTTATTTTTTTAAAAAAGGAAAAGTGGGTAGGACTTTCACACTATAGACTGAGTTAGCTTGACTTGGATTCCCAGAACAACACTAAGATATAATTAAGAAAAAATTTGTGATTGTTTAGAAGGTGACATGTGCAGTTACTAGGAGCCAGTATGAGATCAAGAGCGCAAGAATGCCAAACCAACGTTGTTTCATTTTTAAAAGTTTTTTGATAGCAAGGAGGCATCAGGTAATGATTAAGAGGCTGGTCTTGGAATCAGAAAGGTCTGAGTATCCTTGTACCCATGAAGTCCTAGGTTCAGAACAGACGTAAGAAAAGCAAACGAAGTTTGGGGCATAGAGGGAATTCCACAGTTCTGTATTTCAGTAAGACTTGAACAATGTGGACAGTATGAACAGATGTGGGATAGATGATAATATATTTACTTAAGTACATTAACAACTAGTTGAATGAGCAGGCTTAAAGGGTAATTGGAAGGGCCAGCTGGAAGGTTTCTGATGCCTCAGTGATCTCTCCTTGGCCCTGTGCTGTTCAGAATTTTTATCAGTGACTTGAATGAAGTGGATATCTGGTGGGCTTATCTGATTTATAGATATATGCTTGAAAGCCAGGAGGGCTGGTTCATACACTGGATGTCATAGGAGCCAAAAAGATCCCAGCTGATGAGAATGATGGGCTTAGTCTAGCAAGGGAAAATTCAGGAAGGGCAAATATAGATTTAACATAGCTGATTTTTAGAATCTATATACAATCCGAGGGAGTGTGGCTAGATAACAGGAGAGTCTATGTGAAAACAATCTGGTAGGTCTTAGTAGGTATATGAAATCAGCACTATGATTTGGCAGCCAGAAAGCTCACTTGATCTCAGATTTCAGGTTGTGTTCATAGAGACATGATGTTTTATTTGATCAGTCTTGTTCACTTGGGGTGAGTCTGTATATATCTTTCCAGCCTTACAATACCGCCTTTCCCATCCTCCCATAGCAACTAGGGTGGGGACATAGGGATTATTATTCCCATTTTACATGTTGGGAAACTGAGGCTCAGGAACGAGTAAAGGACTTGATCAAAGGCACACACAAAGTAAAGTTGGGGCATGGATGGTCCTGAAACCCAGGCTTTTTGACTCCAGTCCAGGGATCTTTCCATGATTACGTGGCTAAGTGAATCAGCATTCATCATATACCAGAGGAATGAGATGATAAGCTGGTTAGAGGAAAGGTGAGTCACAGCGGCTCTTTGCAGTGTTTGTTTTCAATGAAGAACATGGCAGATAGTAAAGCACTTAGGATGGTACCTGGCACATGGCAGGTGCCATATACTTACTTATTCCCTCCCTTCCCACTTCCTTTCTTGGCAGAATGACTCTGAGCTTGGGGATTCCCTGAGCCAGGAATGTCCAGCTTCGGTCTTTGGGGCTCATGGGTGGCAGGGGCCTTCTAGTGTATAAATGATGTACCAATGGGTAAGGGGGTGTACTGCAGTCTGAAAACATTGAACCAATAGAAATGGGCAACAGAAGAATTCATAGTCTGTATTTATTGGGCGGGGGGAAACATGGGACTAAACGAGGCTTGAGAAGACATCGCCTCTTCTTGGACTGATAAGGGAAAGCATTTTGAAGGAGGTGGAATTTGGGGGAACTATTTTCAATCGATCGGTAAACATTTATTAAACGCCTACTATGTACCAGCCACTATGCTAAGTACTGGGGAAACAGAAAGAGGCAAAAGACGGTCGCTGCCCTTAAGGAGCTTACAATCTAATTAAACCTAATAAAAGAAAAGACTCGGCTTAGAGGAAATTGTAGGAAGGAGACAATTCTGGGCATGTAATTTTCATTAACAATAGAAGCCAGTTTTGTTGTAAATTTGTGAGTTCTTTTAAGTGCCCCCATCCAAAGCCTTCACCCCATGATAAACTCAGGCCTTACTGTGGTAGGGGCCTGAATGTGTCACTCTTCCTTGGGTAATTGTCTTTTAAAAGAGGAACTGAAGGGAGATGAGACTGAACCTATATATGAATAAAGTCTTTAATGGTGGAATTTTAGTCACAGAAAGGATTTTTTTTTTGGGGTGGGAAGGAATCTTCTTTGTATTCCTCAAATATTACCGCATAGACACTTGCCATTTTGCCTGTGGGTAAAGCCTCTTGTGAAGGTAGATATATGGCAGGGCTTCAAGGCCATTTTCAGGGTGAAGGGAGGATGGTTTTTACGATGCTACCCAGTTGACTCAGGTGTCTTTTCCTTCCAGCAGGCCTGTCCACACCCTCCCAGCCCTCATGCCTTGGGTGCCCCGTGGCTCCCTTTGTGACACCAGCCCCGAGCCATGCCCTGGGATGTCAAGCGGCAGGGTGGTGGCCTTGACGGGCCATCCCAGTCCCGGGCCCAGAAGCAATGTAAGAAGTCATCCTTTGCGTTCTACCAGGCAGTGAGAGACTTACTGCCCGTGTGGTTCCTGGAGGACATGCGGGCCACAGAGGCCTTCCACTGGGAGGAAGGTGGACGTGCCAGCACCTACTCACCCTCTGAGGCTCTGCTGTATGCCCTGGTACACGACCACCAACCCTATGCCCACTACCTGTTGGCCAAGTTCCCCCGGGGGGCACTGGCGGTGCCTAGCCGCAATTTCAGTTGCTGTCAGTCTTCATCACCGCACCTGGCCTTGGCCGTCCGATACAACCGCGTCCATATCCTGCGCCGCATCTTGCGGACCATCCGTGACTTCCCAGACGAGGAACGTGCCCACTACCTGGACCGCCGGGGCTGTAGCCGTGTAGAAGAAGGCAAGACCTCTCTGCATGTTGCCTGTGAGCTGGCCCGACCCGAGTGCCTCTTTTTATTGTTGGGCCATGGTGCTTCCCCTGGACTGTGTGATGGTGCTGGCAACACTCCCTTGGACTTGCTGCTCCGGCGGGTTGGGCAGGACGCAACAGCCACAACCACAGCTCCGACAGCTGGTGATCCTCTGGCCCTGCTTGACTTGCTCTTCCTCTACATGCCCCCGGGCTCTGCATCTCCCATGCAGAGGGAGCTGTTAGGTGACCGAGTCCGTTGGCAACGCCTTCTTGGGGAGGAAAAGTTCCAGTGGCTCGCTGGCTTGGCCCCGCCATCCCTGTTTGCCCGGGCCATGCAGGCCCTCGTGAGGTCCATCTCACCCCGGCGCTTCCCCGAAGCCCTGGATGAACTGCCTCTCCCGCCATTCCTCCAACCCTTGGACTTAAAGTTGAAAAGTTAGGGGCTCAAGTGGACAGATGCCCGCCACAGTAGCTGCTACTGGAGTGTTGCAATGGACGTGTGTGTGTGTGTGTGTGTGTGTGTGTGTGTGTGTGTGTGTGTGTGTGTGTTGGGTGCATGTGTGCAATGGGAATGCATGTGATATCATGTGATATCTTTCTGCTGGAGGCAGGTACTAAGCACTTGTTTTATGAAAACTATTTTTCAGAGTTGTCTCTGGCACTTTACATATGTATGGAGATCTATATCTACATCTATAATGCACTCTATATTTTGTTTAAAAAAAACCAAACAGCTGACAAGTCATCACTGGGGCTTTAGGGGGGATTCGCATCAGCTGTTAGGGGACTGAAATGTAACGGAGGCTGTAAGGCTGCTACTGTAGTAGGAGGGATCCAATAAACACTGGGAGTCTACGTCGGTGGTGCATTTTCTCTGAAGGGAGATGGTGGGGAGGAGAAGGAAGGGACAGGTAGGGAAAGGGCTGGAAAAAAAGGGAGCCTGGGAAAGGAGGAGGATTGAGGCTTAAAAGAACATGGAGGGGGACTGTGTGGGAGTTCATGAAGAGCTTTGTGGGCACCACCCAGGCCCAGCTCTCTGAATCACTGGTTTTACTGGTTGTGTGTCCATTTTTTTCTTCCCACCTACTTCCCACCTCTGTCTAGACAGCCTTTCTGGACATAAGCAAGATTCAGCAGAAGGAGTCCTTGGTTGGGAGTCAGGAGACTGGCTTCTAGCTGTTCCTCTGCCACTGACTTCCTGTGACACCTTGAGAAAAGTCCCTTTCCCTTCCTGGGCCTGGATTTTATAAGCTATAAAAGAAGGGTTTAGCTTATATTGTTTTAAAGCTCCTTCCAGCTGTGACATCTGTGTTTGACACCTATGTTTGATGATAACCAAACTGTCTTCACTGAGCCTTCCCCCATCCTTCTTGTAGCATATGCTCATTCTATCCCTATGTCCTCTATGAGGGATACAGAGGAAGGAAAAATCTTAGGTCCTATCTAGGAGTTCGCAGACTGGCAGGGGAAGAAAATATTCATACCCAGAAAAAAGTAATCGCAATCCCAGGCTGTATGTGCTTAGTGCCAAGTCAAAGGTACAGCTAGTCAGTGCTGTGAGAGTTCAGAGAACAGTTAACTACCTTGCCCAAGGAAGTCTTGCTGAAAGGACCTTGACCCTCTGAGAATTTAAAGCTAAATAGGATTCAGGAAGGCAGGCATTCTGATTAAAGGAACAGCGTGAACTTAGTGTAGAGGTGGGAGAGGAACAAGATACTTGGGGACAGGAACAAAAATAGTTTACAAGTTTGGCTGGAGAGAAGGATGTGAGAGAATAAATGAATGAAAAAACATTTATTAAGGCCATAAGATGTACCAAACACTAGGAATACAAATACAGAAATGAAGATAGTCCTTCCCCAAAGAGCTTACATACTATACTAATTGAGGTATACATACACCATACTATACCATGGAGTGGTAGCTAGGACAAAGGAGGTACTTTGTTTTGGAAAGTAGATTCAAGATTCAAACCCAGTTATTCTGAACTCAAATATAGTATTTTTCCATTATATCCCACTGCCTGTTCAGAGGCCCTAGTCTACTTTTATGGTCACTCAGCTCTTTGTATCCTAGCAGCAGGAGAACCAACAAGCTGTTTTATATATATGTGTGTATGTGTGTGTGTGTGTGTGTGTGTGTGTGTGTGTATGTGTATATACACACACATATCTATATCTATATCTATATATATGATCAATGATCCACACATAGCCAACTCAGTATCATGGGTGGGTCATAGAGATCCCTCATTATTCCCCTTCTGTCCAGTTTTTTTATTTTAATTTTTATCATTTATTTATTTATTTGTTTTTGTTTTGATTTATCAACAATCACTTCCATAAGCTTTTGAGTTTTAAATTTTTCTTTTACTCTGCCATCTTGACTCCGCCCCTGAGTTTTAAATTTTTCTCCCCCTCTCCCTCCCCAAGAGGGCACACAATCTAATATAGGCTATATACACACACACACACACACACATATACACACACACACACACATATATATATAATATATATATATATATACACATATACATATACATATATATATACACATTCCTATTAAATGTATTTTCACATTAGTCATGTTGTAAGGAAGAATTAGAACCAATAGGAGGAACTGCCAAAAAGAGGAAACAAAACTAAAATAGAAGAAAAAAATAGCAAATAGTATGCTTTGATCTGCATTTAAACTCCATAGTTCTTTCTTTGGATATGGATAGCATTTTCCATCATGAGACTTTTGGAGATGTCTTAGATCCTTGCACTGCTGAGAAGGGCCAAGTCTATCAACGTTATTCCTCGCACAACGTGGCTGCTACTGTGTATAACGTTCTCCTGGTTCTGCTCACCTCACTCAGCATCAGTCCATACAAGTGTTTCCATCTAATCTAATCTAATAATCTAATCATGGAAATGGAATACAAGATGACTTCTTACCCCTTCTTTTGTTCCTATCTCTAAGGTTTATGGAGCACCTGGTATACTCTTCTCACCCTGTATATGATCTGGTCTTCCCAACCAATTTATGAGATACAAATATGAAAACACAGTCCATATACTAAGAAGCTTGTTTAAAATCTAGTAGTGGGGAAGACTTCTCTAAAAGAGAAACCATGTAGGATGGTGAGAAGAACATTTTGGAGTCAAGGGCCCTGGATTTCAACTCTGACTCCACCTCTCTGACCTTCTCTGGGGAGAGGGCTGTTGGATTAAATCGTTTCCAAGAGCCCTTCCAACTTTAACATTCTATATCCTATAGTTCTCAAGTTCCTCCCAGCTCCAAATCTGACATAAAATGTTTATAAGTAAGAAAATGCCCAGTAGAGATAAGGGATTAATAAACCTCATTCTAGCTGATGGGATCAGAGGAGACTTGGAGGGAATATATTGTACCTGGTCTGGGTTTTGAAAAAAGGAAAAAAAATTCAAGAGGTGGAGGTGAGTAGAGAGAGTGTTTCAGGAATGTTGGGCATGGTACTCGAGAGGTGAATGGGGCAGGACAAAATCAGGGACCAGCTAAATGTCCAGTTTGGTTAGTAAGTAAGATGTATGAAGGGATAATAGAGTGAAACAAACCTGGAAATGTAGGTTGGAGCCACAGCATAAAAGACCTCAGATGTCAGACTAAAGGATACATTTTTGACTTTATACTGTCAGCAGTGGGACTAGTGGAAAGTGTTGTAATGGAAGAATGACATGATCAGACTTTGGCCAGATGGTGACAGGAAAGGTAACCGTCTAGTACAGGCGCTCTAAGAAAATCCCTAGTAGAGATGAAAAAGGGCACCGTACAAGGAAATGATTTAAAATCAAAGAGAAATACCATGAAGTTCTTCTAGCCGGGAGACTGCAGATACTCTGATAGAGGGCACACCAGGGAGACCAAATTGACTTGATAATTTCTGGGTTCCTTTCACTTCTTAACATTTTATGGTGTCTGTCCCTTTCAGGTCTGACATTTTATGTGCCATGCTCCAAGGTCTCTTCTAGCTCTGATAAGCTAATGTTTTAATTTCATAAGGTGAATTAGACAGATGGCACATTAGACTGATGCTCCGGTATAAACCAGACATGGCCATGGGGAAGACAAGGCAAGCTCATGGTAAACAGACAGAGGAGGTGGTGTTTTTGAATCTGTCAGGCAAAGACAGAAATCTTGAACCTCATTTTTGGGGGGAAAGATGGGGAGGGAAGAGGGTACAAGGGATCTGCTCCTCACACTCTCCTAGTCTCTGATTCTGCTTTTACAGAATTATTGGCCAGAGTCGGGGGCTCAGTCTCTGGTTGGGGTTATGGCTCAGAGTGTAATCAGGCTCATGGGCTCATGATCAGGGCCATGGTCAGTCGGAGCTGAATTAGTCTGTGACCTGAATTAGAGTTCCACCTGTGATTAGGATCAGGGAGTCTCTGTATGATTAGGGGCAAAAAGAAGTCTGTGCCTGGGTGCTAGTGTATGGCTAGGGTCAGGGGTCAGTCTGCATACTCACTTAGAAAAATTTTGTGGGGAGGGCTAATTCTGAAGCAGATTATTTCACTTTGAAACGCTACTCTCTTCTGGCATCTTGCTACTTGAAACAACTTAAAACCACACTCCTCCCATAGTTGCCATCCATTCTTCTCCCTCCTCCTCATTTAAGTCAAATCTAATTGTCAACTAAAGGTTGCCACATCAGTCTGCAGAGAGTAAAGTGTTCAAGAGGGAGGCTGAGGCTGAGGAGCTTAAGGAACTGGGAAAGAACTGTCTAGCCCCCTATACGTATTGGTAGTCTCAACTTTTTGGATGCCCCAACTTTACTCCCAGGTTTCTGAGCCAAGCCCTTTTCCCCTGATTATTGTCTCCATCTAAAATGGGGTCCAAGGATTTGTTTTGTTGAGCCTTAGGTGTATCTCACTTTGCTAGGGTTGGAGGTCGGGGGTTGGGGAGTGGGGAGAATGTCCATCAGTTTTCCCATGAAATAGAATGTGGCTTCTTCCATTTGGCTCAACCTTGTAATCCACACTTCCTCATTGAGTACCTGGGCACATTTCCTCAATGGAACCTGAGCCAGGAGGCCTTTTACCCAGTTCCACCCTGGCCCTTGGCCATAGCCCAGCCCCACGTGGCAATACCATGCCAGGCCAGCTGTAGGCTAGATGACCTAGGCAAAGAAGGGCAAGGATGGTGACTCAGGATTACGAGTTTAAGCTGAGTCAGGAAGGAGGTGCACAAAGTATCCATCTCTTCATCCTCCACATACTTCCTTCTCCTACACACACCTGTAACCTGGCAGGAATGCAATTCGGGAAGCCAACCCAAGGGTACCACCCATTTTCCTTTTCCTGGGGCGAGGCAGACCTGCCCTTCTGGACCTACCCAACTCTCTCTCGCCACCTCCAGGATCCTGGTAATGGATTTAGACAAGAGCATGAGCCATTCAATCTCTCTCGGATGTCTCCTTCTCTACCCTTTGCCTATCCAAATCCCAGCCATCTTTGAGAGCTATCTAGGCAGGATAGATAGATAGATATGGGTGTCAGTAAGATCTGAGTTGAAATATAGCCTCAAATACCTTAATAGCTGTGTGATCCTGGGCAAATCCTTTAACCTCCCTCAGCTTCAGTTTCCTTATCAGTAAAATGTGGATAACATCTACCTCCTAAGGTTGTTTTGAAGATCAAATGAGCCATTTGCAAAGAGCTTTGCAAACCCTAAAGTGCTATATAAATGCTAGCTTTTATTACTATTATGAGAAACTTTATTACTATTAAGAGTATTGACTTGGAGTCAGAAGACTGGAGTTCAAATTTGAGCTTCCAAACTAGCTGTGTGATGGTGAGCCAGTCACTCCACCTCTACAATCTGGCTCCCACCTAGACAATTTACATTATTCCCCCTCACCCATTCAAATTTGGCATTTTATCTCCCCTAACCTGTTTGCAGAGACAAACATTGCTGGAATGCACATCCTCCTCACCACTGTCTCTTAGCTTCCTTCAAGGCTTAATTTAGGTCACCCCTCCTACACAAAGCCTGTAACACTCCTGGCTCAGCCATCCTCCCCTCCTCTTCCCTCAGGACTCTGGGTTCATGTGAATCAGGTTCAATTCTTCAAGCTGACCCCAGAGCGGTCAGTTTCTCTCCCTGGCTTAGCCCCCACCTGGGTTAATCCAGGATCATCTCCAAAACAAAGTTGGCTCGTACCTAGATTTCCCCAAATGTGGTTGACGAGGTTCCCACTCCTGTATAGATGCTCAATTTACAATATGGCCATTAGGAATGGGACGGCCTTTATTTCACTTACCACAAAAAAATTGCCTAAGATACATAGGACTCGCAGGAGCCCATGAACAAATACAGAAACATAAAGTAACTAAATAGGCCATTAGACTCCCCCTTCCCCTAGAAAGGGGGATTGCTAAACAAATTCTCCCTATTTTCCTCAGACCTAGACCATCCAAACAACTCAGGGTAATGGTAAGGTTAGCAAGGTCTGGATCTCTTGTACTATCTACTGGTACTCTATTCTCCTAGTCACCCAGGTTCAAAACCTCAGTTATATTTGACTCTCCCAAGTCCCGTTGATCCCACCTCCACAACATCTCTCATCCATCCTCTTCCCCCAATCTCACTGCTACTACCTTTCTCGTAGTGAAATAGCCTATTTCAACAGCATCCTAATTGGTCTCCCCTCTCAAATTCATCCTCCACAAAACTGCCAAAATAATCTTCCAATTAGTGCCCACTGTTTCCCCTGCTCAAAAACTTTAAGTGGCTCTTTATTTCCTCTAGGATAAAATATAAAACCCTTAGCTTGGAGTTAGGCCTCCATAAACTGGCTCTAACATACCTTTCCAGTTTTGTTTCACATTACACCTTTCCATAAATTCTTCATTCTAGCCAAACTGATTTAACTATTTCCACCTCCTCGAGGCCTGGGTAACCAAACACATTTGGATTCTTCCATCCTTGGGCACTCATGATCACCAAAGCTTTAGTTCTCACAACATTGTAGATAGAATTTGGGGCCAAGGTCAGGCAAAGCTGGGGAAGATTCATATAAAGACAGAAACAAGGTAATGAATAGGTAAGAACTGAGTTTTTTCAGAAGGGGGTTATAGGGCAGTGCACTATAGGAAACTAGAGCACTATAGGAAATTGGTCTGTCTAGGACGAACAGTTTCCAGACCCGATGTAATCTACCTGTTGGAGGGAAGAGGGAGATGTCCCAAGAAATCCCAGAGATACTGAGTTCCATGCAGTCAGTGGTACTCGAAGACCTCAAAAGTACCTTGTTTAGGGACTATCCTCTGGATGTGCCTTATGCTATAGCATTTTGGGATGAGGCTGGCAAACTAAAGCCAAGTTTAAGTATAGGTTGGTTCTGGATTTCCAATCACCAGGTTTATAACCCTGACCACTGAGCAGAGTCTTTGTAACTTCATCTCCTCTACCTGTGCTCACCAGGGTTGCAACAAACTGTTGTTGCTCCATTGTTTCAGTTGTGTCTGACTCTTTGTGACCCCATCTGGGGTTTTCTTGGCAAAGATACTGGAGTGGTTTGCCATTTCCTTCTCCAGCTCATTCTACAGATGAGGAAGCTGAGGCAAACAGGGTTGTCACTTGCCCGGGGTCACACAACTACTGAGCGTCTGGGACTATCTGCACTCAGGAAGATGAGTCTTCCTGACTCCAGGCCTGGAGTCCACCCACTGAGCCCCCTAGCTGCCCTAGCACTTTTGTTAGCAAAGTTCATTTTTTGTTTTCTTTTATGAACCTCACAACAGTCCCCATATACAAGAATTTTATTACACCTCTCTTTCAGGTGAAGAAACTGAGACATCAGGTATAAATAACTTGCCATAACTCATTAGATAGTGGAAGGCAAGGCTGGATAATATCAGAGGGCAATTTCACATCTGTTTTCTGGTTTATAGTCCCGACTCTGCACTTACTGGCAAATGATCTCTCCTTTTTGAGTTAGTTTCCTCATCTGTACAATGTGGATAATACTCCTACGCTCAAAGTTTGTTGTGAGGATTAAATCAATCTATGTGAAAAGTATGTTGTCATTATGAAACACTACATAACAACTCATATTTATATAATGCTTAAGATGGACTAAGTGCTTTCCTGATAATAACCCCTGTAAGGGAGGTAGTGAAAGCATTATCATTCCCATTTTATAGAAAAGGAAATAGAAGGTTAGGGAGGTTGAAAGACTTGTTTACAGTCACAAAGCTAGGATATGTGGAAGGCAGAACACAAACCTGCAGCTTCTGACTCCAAGTCCTGTGCCCTCTTTCCACGATACCATGTTGCCTCTGACATATAAATGTCAGCTATTCTTATTATTATTACCACACTGCACTGGCTTGACCTCCAGGGAATCTGCCTAGCATGCTTTCAGAGCCAGGCCTATCTACAGTGTTTGGGGTGTTTTGCCTTCTGTGTGAATTCTCTGCATGTTAAAACACCAGATTAAACATTCCACTCTGACACTACCATTCCCACATTAACACCAACCTTGTGCCGTCCCTTCAATAAACCAACGAACTTTATTTTCCCCTTAAGAAACTATTTAATATAGATTAGAACACCAGAGGGGCCTTAGAATCATAGAACAAAGAATGTTAGAGGTAGAAGGAGCCCTGGAATTGTAAAATCACAGAATAAATGGAACTGTAAGGGATTTACACTAAGACACCAATCTCATTTTCAGATAAAGAGACTGAGGGCCAAGAAGGATAAGGGTTTCCCCTGAGGTCACATCATGAGGTAACATAGGTAGGACCAGGACCCACATTTTCTTTCCTCCTGGTCCAGTGTTCCCTCTACTTTTCCAAGCTCCTCTGTCTTAAACATTCTCTTTATAGTCAATGTATTCCTTCCATAGTGAGGAAAAGTCTAAAAGTCTATTCCTAAGGATGCTAAAGAAAATCAATCCGTCCAAGGTTGATTCAGTATGCTGTGAGGGTTTCCACCATGTAACTGAAACATCTGACACATACAGTTTTGAAAAAGTCTAGTTTATTGCACTCTCAAAACACAAGCAAAAGTTAAAACCCAAATAAAAATTCTATTTAGAGCAATGAAGCCAGAGGACTTTTATAATTATTAACCAGACTCAATTTGGATTGCACTAAAAGTTCCATGACTTAAGGGCTTCCATATCCATTATGAACCAAGCAAGGCACAGTATATAATATAGCACAGAACTTGCACCTGGGCTGGGGCTATAATACAAAGTATTATATAAAAGTGTCCTCATTAAAGAATCTTTTAGACCAGTGGTGTCAAACTCAAATAGAAATGGATCCCTGTGGATTGCATACTGACTTAGAAAACCACAAACTAACATTATCTTTGTTTTACTGTATTTTTATTTATTTTGTTAAACATTTCCCAGTTACATTTAAATCTGGTTCTGGAAGCATTAGGGATTGGGCCACATGTCTGACACCTCTGGTTTAGATTCTTCCTCAATTGTTAACACAAAACTCCTTTCTCTGTGACTGGGTCGTTCTGTATATACCTTAGGGTTGTACCTCCACCAATCAACAGCGTGACTCCCATACATCCTGACACACTTACATAAAATAGGTGTCGAGGGATGGGCTGAAGACCTGGCCCCAAATCATAAACAACAAAAAGCCTCTCACTTGGTTGGGATTAGTGTTTACCGATACTTTCAAAGGTGGAGGGAGAGGGAAGAGCAGAGACTCTGGCTCTACAAGGGACATGAGGCTACCATAAAGTTTGGCTGGGGTGGGCAGATGCTAGGGAGCAGCTCCCAAGAATTCATGCTGAAGGACTGTTAACATTTCTGTAGATTCACTGTGCTGATGTGTGGATCTGAATGGGGAGTGGCCTGCTGCCCAGGTAGAGGCCTAGTGGTGAGGATAACAAGACCCTTCTCTCGAGGCTGACTGCACGATGCTGAGCTCCCCCTTGCCCTTCTTAAAACTGGCTCCTTCCAAGGCTGATAAGGGAGCACAGACTCAAGATAAACCTAAAGTAGAAGGGTAAAAGTCCACTATCATTTTTGAACAGAAGAGTTTTATTCTATATCTTTAGTACTGATTTTTAAAGAATGAGGTATCTCAGAGAGGCTTATAGAAAAACCAAAAGAATGGCAATGATTAATTGACTGAGGATGTTGCCTGTTTTCATCTAGCCCACAGGCAACATGTGTTAAATATAACTTTAAAGACACTGCTAAATTTAGCTAACATAGCTATACTCCCAGTAGTGATAACATCTCCCCATCTCATCACTAACTCAGCTTTTGGGATACATCTCAAGCATCTACATACACTTGTGTATCTCATTTTCATCTATGTGCCTTAACTATTATTACTTTCAATTGCCTTATATTATGGGAATGAGAAGACCACTACTTTGCCCTGAGTGCAGTCAGGGAGAACACCATCCTGGGCCTTTGTGTGAGTCCATTCACTCATCCTAGCCTGCTGCACTTAATCTCCACCTACTGCCCCCTCTGGAGTTTCTGGAGTTGAGATCATCAATTTTGCAACAGCTCTGAGTGTCTGCCTGAGAGGAGGAGAATCAACTCCTATGAGAGTAATTGAAGCCATTATCTGAACAAGCTGTGATGGTCGAAGAGCATTAACCTGATCCTCCATTTAGCCCTGGGGCCATTACATGTTTATAACAGGAAAGTGATCATGCTGGTCCTAATCCATCATTTTGGGGGGAAAAAAACCCAACAAACTCTACTTCATTATCTACATTTACTAATTCTTGTTGGTGCTGAAGATTTGAAATTTCATCTAATGTACACAGACATTATGTTGCAGCCTAGCCTGAATTTTTGATGACAAGAACTTAAGATAATTTCACTTTATCCAACAATGAGATTTGCTGACAATGTGTTGAACACAACAGAAGTCCCTCTCACAAAGATACTACATATTTATAGATGTTAGTGTGAATGAGGTTGAAAAGTAGCTGTTGTCACAACTAATGAGATTAACTGAGTTAATGGTTCAGAATGAGCTGCTACAATTAAGAGTTTAATTTCAGTTTGCCACAGTTGTTGGCTTCCAAAGAAATACTGAAACATGTAGATTCACTTGGGATGGACGGTCAGATGTTATAGGGAACATGTCAAAAGGGAGCTGACTAAACCAGTTGTGCCAATTATAGGAATTCCCGAGAAATCCTTCACAAAAGTCTCTTCAGATAACTTCCCATTCATCTTCAAAGTCATCAGGATGAAGTAAGACTGAAGTGCTGCCCGTTTTCTGCAAGATGTGGGAGTGGCTGAAGGTCTTTGTAAGACGCTGGAGAAGATACCCTAGTGGGCCAATAGCCCATAGTTCATCTAAAGGGGTCACTGAAAAGAAAACAGTGAGTTTTAATTTAGAGCCTAATAGTAACATTAACAAATCATACTTATAAAACATTGAGTATTAAAAGCCTGACACTCATTACCTTATTTGATTCACAAAGATCAAATATGTAGTGGGAAAGGTACCAGAATTTAGAGTTAGTAGAGACTAGAATTTGCAGCCTGGCTGACACTTATTAATTGTACGATCCTGGGCAAATCACTTCTGTCTCGAGTCTCAGTTTACTCTCCATAAAATAGAAGCAGTGATACCTCTACTCCCTAACTCATAAGGTTGTTGTAAGGAAAATGCTTTGTCTATCTTAAAGAACTGTATAAATGGGATCTTCACAACAATCCCGTGAAGCCAGCAGGGTAGGTATTCATTGTGCAAATACACACAGAAATTTGGAGAGGATGCTAGAACTTAAGAGACAGAAGGGACTGTAGAGAACATTTAGTTCAACCTCTCACTTTTAACATGAGGAGAGTGAGGTACAGAAGGGCCAAATACATAGTGACAAATACAGTCAGAATTCAAACCCAAAGTTTTTCCAGCTCTAACAATCTATAGAACAAATTATTTATACTACAAAGGCCCATCTAGATTTTAATGATTGGCTCCTGATGGTTTTATAAATTCAACTCAAGGAAGGAAGGAAGGAAGGAAGGAAGGTGGGGGTAGGAGGCAAGAAGAGGGCCACAACCCTGGGTATCCAAATGATGCTGTTTTGGTGTGATGACTTTGGTAAGGTGAAGATAAATGGGAGTTTCTCTCTTCTGCTTTTCCCACAATTCTGTCTTTAGTACCCATTCATTTGTGCTCTGATAACTCAGGGAAAAAAGGCCTACCAATGTGTGTGGTTTTGTTTTGTTTTTTAATGAGGTTTTCCAAAGCTAAACAGACACACAATGACTTGCCTGTCAAACATGACATATTCCCAGGGATTTTCTTCCAGTAGTCTCCTGCAGGGTTCTTGTCAGTGATGCCGTATCGTCGGGCCACATCACCATTCGCACAGTGTGCCCAAACTGTCCTTGTACTCACAGCTAGATGAGAGGCCTGTAATCCTAAAGCAGACGTATTCCATGATATATGATAACTTGTGGCTCTAATATCTTATCTGGGAATGTAAGAGCTACCTCTCTTCCATAAGAATTAGTTTTCCCTTTGACACAAAATTCAGGAAGATGTCTTTGGTTCTGTAGACTGTTTCCCTGTTCTCATGTCTTTTAATGAGTCACAGAACCATAGCACATCAAAGTTGGAAGGGACTTTAGTGTCACAGAAGACAAAATATCAGAACTAGAGAGATTTTACTGCTCATCTATTCCAACCTTCTCAGTTGACAGATAAAGAAACTAAGGTGTAAAGAAGAGAATTCATTTGGTCAAAGTCACACTGCTAGTTAGTGCCAAATGTAGGCCTAGAACCCAAGTCTCCTGACTCAGGGTAACATCTTTTTGCTTACACTAGTAAGGACAAAGCTTAGGAGATTTATCAAACACTTAATAAGGACCTACTATGGGCGTAGCAGTGGGTTAGGAGCTATGGGGAATACATTAGAAGGAAAAACCATGATCCTTGTCCTCAAGGAGCATAAAAAGCCTCTCTCTTTTCATTTACAACCAAAGGAAAGCAGCCACTTAAAAATTCAAGAGTCTTGCCCGTTTAGAGTATCTAAAACCTATCTGAAGCCCAGCCAATAGTCCTGAAGTAAGGGAGAAAAAAGGCTTCTCTGCAACTAAAATAGCTAATAAAAGCCCTGAACTAGAGCTCACATGTATGACTCGTGGGCTAGCTCCTTCAGTTCTCATTCAGAATCTATTGATGTTTCTTTGACACAGAGTTCTGACCAGCTTGCTTATTTGGTTTCTCAGACCACAGCAGCTTAGAATGAAGAGCTGGGGGCAGGGCTGCTGGAGGCAAGTACACTGACTGTTGGGAGAAATGTAGTGAATGTTGAGGGAGAAGATGGAAAAATTATAGAAAGCAAATACAAAAATACAGAAAGTATAGTAATGTGGGAATAAATAGCCCTCCAAACCTCACTCAACCCAGCAAATGATTGATAGATGCTTATGATAACTGAGAAGCACTGCTATACCATGGAAAATGTGCTGGACTGAAGTCAAAGGACCTGGCTTCCTGCCAATTCCAACCTGTGTCACTGTGTACAAGTCAATTAACCTCTCTGGGCCTCAGTTTTATCATCTGCTAAGTGAGGATGTTAGACTAGATGGCCTCTTCCAGAGCTAAATCTATGAACCTGGGTGGTTAAATTTGAGTATTACCCACTTCTTTGCCATTACAAATATATTTTTTAAAGATCTGAGTTCAAATCCTGGCTCAGCTATTATCTGACATGAAACCGGGTAATTAGCTTTACCTTTCTATGCCTCAGTTTCCCCATCTATAAAATGAAAGAATGAACTAGATGATCTCCAGGGTTCTTTCTAGCTCGAGATCCTATGATACTTCCATTGCTTATGATTGCTATCTGAACTAATTAAAACCACAACAACAGTAATAAAGGCTTGATGCTTCTATATCCTCAACTGTTCAGAAATTTTCACCATTAAGAATGCCATATTTTCTAGGCAGTTTGGAAAGCAATGATGTTTTTTAGCATTCACATAAGACCAGGAATAACTGTTTTTCAAGTGGGATGAAAGGAAACAGATATGGCCATATAATTCCTGAAGTAAAACAAACTGGGTTTTGATTAGGTGAGACGCATCATAATAATCAAACAGCTATTTCTCCAGACATCCGTCACTTGACTCACAGGCAGATTATAAGTAACAATGGGGGAGGGGAGGGGTGGAGAGGAGGAAGGATAGCAGCAATATATTCAGAACGCAGGGGTTGGCACTACAAATGTTAACAATGTGTTAAAAATAACCTGGCAGGTGATCCCAGAAAATCTAGCTCTTACCACAGCCAGGGCAGCTAAAATCCTGAAGGCAGGACAAGGTGGCTCTCAACAATGACCCTGACACATCCCTCCGCCTTGTTCTTGCTCAGGAGTTGCCAGCAGGCAGGAGACTAAGCAGACCTATGCTACAGGTTGGGGCATTTGCTGCCATTACACAGCTTGGATGGAGGGAGGGCAGAGAGTTAGGGGAGGCATCTTTTTTTCAGAAGCTTTGAGGTGTCCAGAACTCACGTGGGACTTTCACTGTGTACTGTGTGTGTGTCTCTGGGGAAACCTTGGGTGGGCATCAGTACTGGTGCAGGCTGCCCAGAACCCTGGGCACCAGAAACATAGATGATGACTCGAGTCACAAGGTCATAAGAGGGGAGGGTAGTGGGGCCACAGTGAGTGTGTCAGGAACTGAAGGAAGGCAGAGAGGGCAAGGGAGGAAGGAAGGAACTGGATCAGGATGAAAAAACACTTTATTTTTATGGTACCTGGCACATGTTCCCAATCAGTTCCCACAGGCATCTCCTCAGTGATTCCAACTCGGACATAGACATTCCACTTGTTGTCAATTGCCCACAACATCTGGTCATTAGGACTGGAATGGACACTAACTAAGTTGATTCCCACAGGCTGGAAGCATGAAGAAGAATTACACAGCGACTGTTAGAGCTTGGGGTAAAGAAGAGTAGCAGGACTAGGTTACCATAACCCACTGCAGCCCAAAAGATCACACCAAGTTATAGAGGGCAGTGTGACATTTTAGTATGGTAAGAGAAAGGAATAGCGATGATTCATTCTTCAACAGATTTTTAAGACTTAGAAAAGGCTTTCATCAAATAGTCCTGTGAGACAGTCTGGCACAGTGCTGGACATAAAAGTCAGGAAGTCTTGGGTTCAAATTGTACCTCTGACATTGGTTAGCTGGGTAACCACTGGTAATTTACTATCTCAGTTTTTTTTTTTCCTGTAAAAAGGAGATAACATCTCCAGTGGCAGTGTGATGCAGTGGAAAGCGTGCTGGATTTGTAATCAGATCCCAGCTAATCTACTTACTATCTATATTAAATCAAAGGATCACAGCTAGGGCTAGAAGGGGACTCAGGTCACTTACTTACTACTACAACCTCTTCACTTTGCAAATGAGGAAACTCAAGCCTATGGAAGTTAAGTAACTTGCTAAAGGTCACCTGGTTGTCAGTGGCAAAGCTATGATTCAAACTCAAATCTTGTTATTCCAAGTCCAACACTCTTTTGCACTGCCTCGGGCAAGATACACGACCTTTCTGGGTCTTGGTTTCCACATTTATAAAGTGAAGGGGTTGGGAAATATGACTCTTAAGAACCTTCAAGATGGAAATTCATGATTATCACCCGATGACCTCAAACGGCTGTGAGAATCAAATGAGATAATGTATGCAAAGTGCTTCCTAAAACCAGGTACCATTGTGATCTTCATTTTTAAAGAGTTACACATCTACAAAGGGCCAGAGTTGCTCTTTGAACTCCAGTCTTCCGATCCCAGTTCCAATGTTCTCTCTGCCACATGATGCTTTGTCCCATACAAAAGAGATCACACACAACCACAGAATGTCAGAGCTAGAGGGCCTCCTCATTTTACAGATGTAGAAAGGGTAAATGACTCGCTCACTAGATAGTGGAAGTGGTACATTTTCAACTCCAGACTAAACTTTAATAAAAATATGTATGACACAGCACGGCCCTTGTTGTCTCAGGGCTGCTTACTCTTCTGAGAGACCGTGCATAAAACAACTCATAGCTATTCAGCAATATACAAACATAAGCTATTTCTTTTTATCATTATTGTTAGCAATAATAATAATGATAATGATAAAATTTGTATCAGGAAGAGCTTCAATAGAGTTTTCTTTTCATTATTTTGGCTTTCATTAAGGAGTAGTTTACTTCATGAACTTAGAATTTAACATATTAGAGGTAATTTATTCAAATTATAAATATTAGAGTTATTAATTCAAATAGCCCTAACATAAAACCACATGCAGATGAAAATGTTCTTGTGTCAAGGACTTAAAACAGCTTTACCTCCCCCTCTGAAAAGGAATAGGTAGCAGTTCGTTCAACTGAAAACTGACAGGAGCTGGTCAGATGATTCCTAGTGCCTTTTTTTGTTATCCTGTCCAGGTTAGGAATGCTGGAGCCACTATTCTGCTCTAGAGTCAGGAAGCAGGGGAAACGTCAGCCTGTACAATAAAGCCAGGCAGTGATTACCTGGCACTGCTATTGCAGCTTCATTGTCACTTGCTCCCTGTTTAAGTCATGTGTATAGTCTCAGTGACAACACAGACTTCTGTGGACATTCCTTTACAGACCACAATGATAACCCAAGACCAGACCTGTTGACACTCCTCTGAATCTGTCCAAAACTAGCTCTTCACAAAGCTATTTTTTATCCCTTTCTCTATGGTTACTCTCAAATAATAGCTAATCATTGTCTCTACTAAACCATGTGCATGAGGGCAGCCAGCCCATGTGCCCTTCTGGAAATGCTAGTAAAGTCAGCTGCTGCCTTTTGGGTAGTAGAAGGAGCCCTGGATTTTCAGTCAGAAGACCTGGCTCCAATGCAGGTTGGGCCACTTCTTGCCCGTGTGACACTGGAGAAGTCCTTTACCCACTCAGATTTCTCCACTGCACAACAGAGGTTCAGGGTGGGATGATCTCAAAGGGCTCTTCTAACTCTATACCCGACACATTCTTGTGAAGGAAGCCTGTCCACGGCTGCACACAGCAGCCAATCCCAATGCCTCTTAGTGTTGCCATATCTCAATTTTCTTATACCTCTGAATTATACCACTTTAGGATTCCATGAAATTCAAAACTATCACACCTTTGGCAGCTGAATGCAGTGGAAAGAGACACTGAGCCAGAAGTCAGGAGATGTCCTTGCTTTGCTACTGACTGTGACTGTGTCTTCTCCCTGTCTGGTCCTCAGTTTCTTCACTTCTAAGTTGGAAAGGGTAGACTAGATAATTTAGAGCCCTTCCAGCTCTAAAGGTATGTGACAGTAATTTTAAATTAAATCATAGAACAGAACTGTGTTGTTGTTTTTGATAGTTTTTCCCCTAAAGAAAATATTTCCCTGATGTTCATGGACTTTCCTCAGTCATCAGTCTCCTGGACCTCTCTGCAGCCTTTGACACTACCTGTCATCTTCTGCATATTTTCTCCTCTCTAGGCTTTTTGAACACCTCTCTTTCCTGGTTCTTCCCCCAACCTGTCTGACCACTCCTCGGTCACTTTTATTGGATCTTCCTCCGGGTCAAGCCCATTAGCTGTAGGTGCCCCACGTCCAAGGCTTTATCCTGGGCCCTTTTCTTGTCTCTTTCTACCCTATGTCACCTGAGGATCTCATCAGCTCCTATGGATTCGATCACTATAGAGAGATCTATTTATCCAGCTCTACCCTCTCTCCCCAGACTGACATCTCAAACTCAATGTATCCAAAATAGAGTTCATTACATTTCCTCCTAGACCTCCCTATTACTACTGAGGATACCACCACCCTCGCAGTCACACAATCTTGAAACTCTGGCATCCCTGACTCCTAATTCACACTCAACTCACATATCCAATCTGTTGCCAAGTCTTGTCATTTCTACTTTCACAACATCTCACTTATGTCTTCTTCTGTCCACTCACAACAACTTTCAATGTTTCCTTCTCTCCACTCACACAGCTGCCATCTCACACTCTTATCACTTTAATATTACAAATACCTTCTGGTTGGTCTCCTTGCCTCAAGTTCCATGCCCCCCCCCCAGTCCATCCTCCAATCGGCTGCAAGAGTGATCTTCCTAAAACATAGCTCTGACCATGTCACTCATCACCCCTCCAGCCCATTCAACAAAAGTTCCTGTGATTCTCTATTACACTTGGGTTCAAATATAATGTCCAATTTGGCTTTTAAAGCCCTTTACAACTTTGTCGTCTTCTTACATTCTACGCATCCCCCCCCCACTCTATAATTCAGTGACGTAGGCTCTCTTGTTGTTCCTCAGATGCGACACTTCATCTCCCAAGCCCGTGCCTGCAATGCTTTCTCTCCTTGTTTCCATCTTTTGGCTTCCTTCAAAACTTAGCTCAAATCACATCTTCTAGAAAAGGCCCTTCCCAGTCTCCCCCTCCTCTTCCCAGCCCTACAAGTGCCTCCCCTCTGAGATCACCCCTCAGTTACATGGTACACATCTTACGTACATAATCATTTGGATGTTGTTCTCCCCCATTAGAATCTGAACTATGGTGTAGAGACCGTGTTTCTGCCTTTCTTTGTATTTCCAGTACTAACCACACTACTTGGCATACAACAGGTACTTAATAAATGTTTATGGATTAACCCACTAATTCATTCAGAAGGTGGTACCCTAAGCCTTGAGGAAATCTAGGGATTCTAAAAGGCAGAAGATAAGAGGGAATGAATTGCAGGAATAGAGGGCAATCAGTGCAAAAATATGGAGGTGGGAAATAAAAAGTCATACATGGGGAACAGCAAGGAGGAGACTGGCTAGATGGAGAATAATGTGAAATAAGCATGGAAATGTCGATCAGAGCCAAACTGTGAGGACTTGAAATGACAGAGGAAATTGTATGTTGGATTTGTTTTTGTTTTTAATGATAACTATATTTCAATATCATTTGTTTCCTTGATTATTCTATATATTTTATTATATATTATATTATACATATATATCCTATATATTATATCATATCAAAAGCATTATTTTGATAAGGTGTCCATAGGCTTCACTAGTCTACCAAAGGAGTCCATGACAGAAAAAATGGTTAAAAACCCCTAGCCTATAACTAGTTAGTCTCTGAAGTTTCTTTTTTTTCTTTTTTTTAAAAAAAATTAATTTATTTGAATTTATCAACAATCACTTCCATACGCTTTTGTTTTTGTTTCTGGTGTCCATATGCTTTTGCATTTAAATTTTTTCTCCGTCTTCCTCTCCACCACCCTCCCCAAGACAGCACACAATCTGATATAGGCTACACATATACATTCCTATTAAACGTATTTTCACATTAGTGATGTTGTAAGTAAGAATTAGTACCAATAGGAGGAATCACCAGAAAGAGGAAACAAAACTCAACAGAAGAAAAAAAACAGCAAATAGTATGCTTCAATCTGCATTCAAACTCCATAGTTCTTTCTTTCTTTGGATGTGGATAGCATGTTCCATCATGAGGCCTTTGGAGGTCTCTGAAGTTACTTGAGCAAGTGAGTAACAGAATCAGACCTGTCTAGCCATGTGTAGACAGTTAAGAATATCAATTTGGAAGCTATATGAAGGATGGCTTGGAGAAGGGAAAAACTGCAAACAGGAAGACCGATAAAGAAGCTATTGCAATAGTCTTAGAGAGAAGAGATGAAGGTCTGAATGAGGGTGGGAGATGTGCAATCAGAGAGAACATAATAGACAGGAGAGATTCCATGGAAGTTATGATCAGTGAGCCATCACAGTTTACTTAGATGTGGGGAGTAAGGGAGAGGAGAGTTAAGAATGACTCCAAAATTATGAATCTAAGTAACTGGAGAGAAGAGCATTGCCCTCAACAGAAATAGGAAGTTAAGAAGAAGTTATCACTCAGGTAAA